AGACATCAGAATGCCAACAGCCTTTAGCAAGAACAAATCCAGCGTGCGAAGAGACTGATGTGTTCAATGGTGCCTGCAGACATGTGGTTCCTCGGGTGCAGCCCAAATACTCAGCACCCTGGGGACTACTGATTTCTCACCCACCCTTCCTGCCCCACTTGTGTATGGTCCCCGTGACCTTTCCAACACAACAATCCATGGGGAAACAACTCAAACAGCACTTTGGATCAGATTTGGGGCTCTGTCAGTTCTCAGAGCCAGGCCAGGACATAATGTCCTCCTGGTATGGTGGAAGACTGTTGGGAGAAGATGGGTGCATACACCCTCTGAGCCTTCAAGGCTGCCAAACCTTGGCATCATAAAGCCAGGGCTGTAGCATCTGCACAGAAGCAATATAAATAAATATGTCATTTAAATTAAGAGCAATTAACATGAGGCTTGGGATTGCAGAATCAAACTAAAGGATGACATTGCCTTCAAAGTAGCTGGGAAGTAGATCATTACAGGCACCGCCTGTCTCTGTTAGGAGCTGCTCTGGGAGAAAAAAAAAAGTGGTTCTGTTACAGTCACCAAAGAGGCATCTGTCCCCAGTAGCTGCAGACTGTGTTGCCCACCACTCATATATATGTCTGGATGTCAAAAATAACAAGTTACTTACAAATCCCATTGGGAGACCGATTTCCTAAAGTTTGTCTGGCTGTTCTTCCTCACTTTCTTCTTTATGTTTTTCCACTGGTGATTAAATGAAAACTGACTGGAAGTGTCTAATGATGATGAGTCCTTAGTTTAACAACAGGAACACTAAAACACATTAAAGAGTGCTGGGAAGAAAAAACATTTCTCTCTTGGGGACCTAATACAATTCTTAAAACTGGTCCTAACCGGAAAATCCATGGCATGATCAGATTTTAGCCCAAAGACCCTCCAAAAAATAATTCAGACATTTCCTGCCCCACGTACAATGTAAGGTTATTTTCTAATAAGCAACATTCAGAATGAATCTAGGGTTGCATCTGTGGGTGGAAAAATGTTACCAGGAATAAGACATGTAACAGAGAAAGGAAAAATATTACTGTGAGAAAATGCTGTAAGAAACAAAGATCAGGGAAAGAAAATCAAGCAAATAACAATTCAGGATGTGTGGGGTTTTTTTTAAATCAGTGTGATATAACACCTTTCCACCTCTTCTTTTTTTTATATAACACATATATTTTATGAAACTCACCAATATTTTTTTTAAAAAAAGCTTCAAGGAATGATGTGTCAACAAAGATGAACTACTAGTAATACCCAGAGAAGAATAAAGCAGTACAACTATCAGATGTAGAGTAAATCAATACATCAACACAATCCCATTATTAGGTTTGAATTCTGGCACTCGGTCTCCTAAATCACTGCACAGAGCTGCAAAAGGAGGCAAGGTGGGGAACTGTGCTTTCCCCTACCCCAATCATACTTTGCAATAAGTGACAAAAAAAGGTTGTGCTCAAATCTAAAGGCTAGCAACTCCTGGGCACGGCCGCTGCCATACGGGGTTTGCTACCCGTAACAGCCCGTGCTCTGATGGATAATTTTGCAAGACAATATTTAGAGCATGTCAAGCCCGGGGAGATACTCTTCTGGCAACCTCCCCACGCAAGAATTGGCACGCACATGTTGTGCATCTGAGTTAGCTCCTCTCGTACCACGACTTGCCCAGATATCAACTCTTTAAGTCACAGCTCTCGTGGCTGAGTTCACTCCCGTGTTGCAGAATTTAGGTACCCGATTAAAGCAATCAAGATGGGATTTGTTAGCATAGCAGTAATAATTCAGCAGAAGAAAAAGGAGCTAAAGGGCATGAGCTGCAGTTCTTTGAAGAAGCACTTTCTTTCTTCTTCTGGGTCACAGCACAGCATGACAGAGCCGTCCCTTTATACAGTCTGTTCCCAAGACAGCATTTTGGGATCTAAACTTTATAGGGGATGGTGTCTAGACATAAAAGGCTGGATGTTTCCTTGAATTTCTTTCAGGAAATACTTCAAAAGAATACAAACCTGACTGGCTAGAAAACTAGTTTCTTTTATTTTTCACAGTCCCTTCCAATGAAGGATTCCTAAATCCTTGCAGTATGAAGAACACAGCTTATCTCCACTAGCTTCTCTGGTGCCCAGAGTCACCAAAACGCTTCTCTTCAATGAGGTTCAATTTTAAATTCCCCATGGACCACAGAAACAGGGTCTCATGTCACCTAGTCTTTTAATCTCTCCTTAGGAAGTTATTTTCTTGACCAAATGCAGGTGTCTGCTGTGAATGAGATTAATTCCACCCTAAACCGACTGATTTTTTCTAGGCACTATAAAGAGAGCCCACAGGAACTTGCTCATGAGCAGATGTCCATTTGAATGGATTAATCTGATCATGCCTGTGTATAATTCTGCCACAGCTAGAGCTGCAGCCATGTCTTGGAAAGCTGGGTCAAAACACTTGGCATAATCAGTCAGCGATGACTCAGAAATCCCACATACAGAGTTGATGCCATGGTCTGTGTCAATGATTCCATTAAAATCAGACCACCTATCTAAATGAGTTAAAAATCTTGCAAATGCTGGCACATAAAAATAGAGAGAAGTAAGATGGGTCCTTAACTCTATGGGAAAATTGTGAGTGCTTCAGTGTGTGCTGGGAACTCTCGAAGGCTCAGACCTGGGATGAAGCTGATGCACTAGGTTATACTGCATATAATATAATAATAATAAATATAATCATTATAGATTGCAGTGCACTAGATTATATAGCTATAGAGCTAAGGTTCCTATGGATGCACCTCCTACCTGTATTGAGAGATACACAGGTAGAGTTTTGTCCCAGCACATGGGCTTTCCCCTCCTCTTTGCCCAGCCCAAGATCTTGGGATGAAGTGGCCATTTAGAGCAGACTCGTGATTTAATTTGAATGTGACGGATGCACAAACACTTAGCCGGCCATGTAAAAAGACCCAGAGGGACTATGGGATGTCAGCTTTCCCATAGACAATGCTCTGACCCAAAAGACAGGGCTCCTTGGTTTTTAAGTCTCATTGCTGGCAAATTTAGCTTACTCAGCCTCAAAGCTGACCCAGGAGGGTCTGACCAGATTCAGATAAGGTCATCCTAAATCACCAATGAACTTTAAGTCAGTGATTAAAAATACACACACACACAAGATTTTGAATGCCACTAGGACTAAGTTGGTGACCCTTCAAAAATATCGCAGCTTTTAGAAAGCTGAGAAAACGTTATCTGGAATTTAACAAAAAAAAAAATCTCTGGCTGACACAACGCCACCAGCTGATGGGAAGTTCAGTTCTCTCCCCATAGTGTCCTATAAAAATAAGTGTTAGGCAGGGGAAAGAAAAAAAAAAGATCATAGTGACAAGTCCCTTGGCTGTCAAAACATCCATCAGCAAAATGAAAAACAATGTGGACATCTTACACTTAGTACTTTTGTTCTTACTGCCAAAACTAAGACAAAGATGTTCCAGCTTAGGATCTGGACAATAAATCAAACAGGCAGCCTTGGAAAATTTCTTCTTAGTACCAAGAAAAGTTACCTTGATACCTATGGAGATGAGACCCACTTATGTTTCTCCACAGTTTCTATTAAGGCTCTCCTTGCACATGTGCTATTTTTTCCTCACAATATCTCACGGCAGGTGGGAACAGTAAAAAATAGTCTGCAGCCTAGTAATTAAGTAGGCTTGTTTTTAATACTGCAAATTACACCTAGATGCAACTGTCTCAGGTATATATAATGCTCCAATCACTGTCACACCTCAGTGCTCTTCCCTCTGCGACGTACTTAGTCTCACATCCCCCTGCAAGGCATGAAGTGCTATTATCTTCATCACAGAGGAACGGGTGGAGGACTACAGGTACTTCCTGAGTCATCACAGACACTTTGTCATAAAACCCTTTCTCAGGCATATTAAGGCCAAGCTGAAGAGTAAGCTCCCCCAAGCTTTCCCCCTTCTTTTGCCCTTTCAAGAGCTGTTCAGTGCCTCACAACTGTGATGCCCAAGGTCTCCACTCCCCATCCGAGCATGGATCCCTTCACTGCAAGTTCTGGGCAGTTTCCAGTTTGGCAGGAAGACCTTTCTGTGAAATGGCTCTTTGTTTCCAGTGCTTACCTTTTGCACTCCCTGCTAAGGATATCTATAGGAGCAATCACACAATATCTTAGCTTCCACTGTCTAGGTGGGATGAGACAAAAGTCTTTCTGTCTTCTCTTATAAGACAAGCCCTTTGTTCCTCTTCCCTTTGCCTGTTCCAGTTTGGACCTATTTTCTGGACAAAGGTGATCAGAAGAGCACAGACACTAATATAGGTGCCCTTCCCAAGATCTCAAGCAAGGCACCAGGAGGAAAAAAAAAAAAGAGAGGTGTGGAATTGCATCTATGTTTTCATGTGATCTTCCAGCCAACTCACACACACAGCCTGATTGTTTGGGTTGTCCCTGATGGCCCACTGAGGCTGGCCAAGGCAACGGGACTGCCCAGGTGGAAAAATTCTGGCTACACCAATACTGTTAAAGCCTGCTCCTGGAACTCTTCTCAAGCCACCCTGCTAAGCAACACAGAGGGGCTCGTGTCCATAGAGGATGGACAGGGGCAGGTCAGGATGGCTGCGTCCACCCTACACAACTGTTGGCCTCTGTCTTCTCTGAGCCTCACATAACAATGCTGTGGCTGTAACAAACACATAAACAAATACATATGGGTATATATTCATACTTACAGATTCTTAAATGCACACACATATTTTTTTGCAATCTTCACAGTATCCAGAACAACATGAGGACTGTCCCACCACCCAACAGGGTGATATTCTAATAGCACAACCCTAAGAGTCTCCTTGTGTATGCGTATATGTTGTGTGTCTTGCAGTGTGGTATTGGGCCGTTCAATGGTGCCTGAGTTGCAAGGCTTGCTGGGACAACAATGAGAGCCTAATCTGATGTAACCTCACCCATTGTGCCTACAGAGCCTGGTTCCTGGGGTGGACCATCCCCAGACCCATGCCTGACTTGTTTCTCAAAGCTAAAGATCCACTTCCCAAAGCAGAAGGAAAGAAACGCATGTATCAGCGTGGGCTCTGGAACAAACTGGAAAGAGACGTTATCTGCCTCTGCACCCAGCAATGCAGGTAGGACTGGAAGCTTGTGTGATCCACTGCAGTCAGAGAGGGGTCTGGAGCTGCCTTGCAGCTTGAGTTTCATTCTTAAATCACCCGAAGCTTTCCCTTGGCTCATGTCACAGCCAGGATTGGCACTGGAAGGGCCCCTTTACAGGAGGGGCAATGGTGCAAAGCCAGATCAGCCACCACTTCCTCCTCACACCAACCTTGCCAGCTCTCCCACTATTACTTTGCTGCTGGAAAGCATATCCAAAGCTGATCTCACCTCCAAAATACCTCTAGCTGAAGAGAAATACCTGCTGCTAGTCATCAATGGGAATGAAGTGTACAAATGAGTTGGCAGGACAGGTGGGCTCTCTACCAAACTCCTCCTATGACTTACAGTGCAAGCCTAGCCAAGCCTTTAGACTCCTTGAGCTCCTGCTTCCCCTCCAACCCCAAGACTGTTTTGTTTCTGTTTCATGAGCTTCGGTAGAGGAGGAATAAAAGTTCATATTCAGCACCTAGGCATACCTTCATCTCCAGATAAACCACCTCTGGAGATGCTTCTCCTGACTATACATTCATTACGAACAGGTATATGACTTTCTCTATATAGCTGTGCTATACCTAGGGCCAAAGGACAGTCATCATTCATTAAAAATATACACTAATGCAGTAAACACTCTGGGATTTTAGCCCAGAAGGAAAAAAAGGCTTTAAAAGCAAAATAAAGTGACAAGCAGAATAATCTAATTGCTGATTTTTAAAAACAAAAGAAAAATCTGTTATATGCTTTAAAGTAAAAGATGTCTTATAACTGATATTTGCAAGTCTCTTTGATCAGTTTTCTTGTTGTTTTTTTGTTTGCTGTGTAGCCCACTACAGTTACTCCAAATCCAGCTCAAATTTGTGTGCGTTTCTCTACTTGAGCATAACACAAGTCACCTTGGAAGAAGCACAGCAGAAAATAATAAACAAAAAACAACATTGGCAAATCTTTGAACAGCAACTGAGGAACAGCCATTTCACTAAAACCAACTTCAAGTTAATGTACTCTCTCACTAGGCCAAAAAAAATATTCCTTTCTTGGGATTAAAGCAACTCTTCTAAATGAGGCTGGCTATGATTGACGCTTTAATTGACTGGCACAATTTCATGCTTTAATAATTCTGGGCTCCTCAGTTTAGCCATGAATAAATTTAACTGTTAAGTCCTTGCATATAAATCCTCTTGCCTGGAAGTTCTTATTCTCTCTTTAAAATGTAAACTTGGATTAACAAGACTCATTGACACATCAGGAGCTGAATGTAGTTATCAGCAGCATTCCCTGGTCAATACAGTCACCAGTTCCCCCAGGTCCTTCCCTTCTGGGCCTCCACAACTAGCTGGCAAAGGGCACCAGCTGGGATGTCTCTAATCCTCAGGTGAAGAATCACAGAATCATCATGGTTGGAAGATACATCTGAGATCATTGACTCCAACCACAAAAAAACAAAACAAAACAAAACAAAACAAAACACAACAAAC